CACCCCCTCCCTCAATGTGGAGGAAGATATGCACAGTTCTTTGCCCCCCGAGTAATGAATTGCACAAACTGGGTTTTAGAAACTACTTGAGTTTATTAACTACAAAGGATGAATTTTAAGTGATTATAAGGGAGAGCAAACAGAACAAAGCAGATTATTGAGCAAAGTAAACAAACACGCAACCTAAACTTAATTCACTGAAGAAACTGATTACAAATAGTAATTTCTCAGCCTAAATGTTGTTTTAGGCAGGTTGCAGAGTTTCTGCAGCTTAGAGTTCAGGTGTTTCTCTTGACGGGCTTGACCCCTGTCTCAGCCTGGGTCCCAGTCCTTTCTCCCCAGATCAGTCTTCGGTGTTTCCAGCAGTCATCCTGGGTGGGAATTCAGTGAAGAACCAGTGACCTGGATTAACTCACTCTCCAGCTTTAAATAGAATTTATATATGGCGGGAATCTTTTGTTTCCCTGTTTGATCCCCACCCTTCTTCAGTGGAAAAGTGCCAGCAGTGTCCAAGGTGGTATTTCGTACTAGGTGACATCATCACATGACTTTGCATTGTTAAAACAAACCATGAGACAAGGCTTATTTGTAACGTCCACTGGAAGGAACTCCAGGAAGACGGGAGATCAGCATCTTCAAAGACCCATTGTCTTGCTTAATGGGCCATCCAGGCGGATTGCATACTGTCTGGTCGGCATTACCCAAGTACGCACACAGCTGTAATTGTTACATAGTCCATATTCCTGATTTCAGATACAGAAATGATACATGCATACAAATTGGATCACTACATAACCTTTCCAATGATACCGCACATGACCTATCTTGCATAAAAACGTATCTTAGTTATGTCAGATCATAACAATATGTTTATGAAGAATATGGGGTGCAGCATCCCTATCAGAACAATTTAATATATGGAGGCAGCACTTTAGTCAACTACCCAATGGCAAGCCAGTGGCTATCCGCCCCCCAGTCACATAGGAAGGAGAAGATCTGAGCTTTGATCTAGGAACTATCACTAAAGTAGAAGCAGACAGGGCAGTCGATCAGTTAAAGCGTGGAAAGGCACCAGCTCCAATGGTGGTCTTAAGCCACACTTGAACACAGTAAACATTTTGATAGGCCTCTTCCAAAAGATATGGGAAGAAAGCGGGTCCCAGCGGATCAATTATAGCACAAGCCCTGAGTGAAAGGAGAACTTTGAGGTGGTAAAGGCCTATTCAAGATTGCTGTGTTTTGCCAGTGACTGCCTGAGGAAAAGCATCCAGCAGGACTCGAGATGTGGTGTCTGTCCTTCCATGTCTGGGAGGTGGGACAGATTAACGAGAGGGGAAACTGAGGCCCTGCACACTCGCAGTGTCATGACGGCCCAGAGGGGATATGTGGCAATAGCAAACCACATTTCAGTTGCCTTTGGAGAGTAATATGGCCTAATTTATCTCGCTATCTAAGATACTATAGTAATCAGGGCCATGTAAGTATCTCAGCACCTCAATCTTGAATGTGTTTATGCTCACAAAACATCTGCAAGATAGGGAAGTGCTATTGTTCCCTTTTTACAGATGGGGAGTTGAGGGACAGAGACACTAAAGGGGGGATTTAAAAGGTATTTCGGTGCTTAACTGAGTTGCCCAAGGTTACACAAGAAGTCAGTGGAAGAGTAGGGAATTTAACCTGGGTCTCCTGACTGCTCAGGTGCGTTCTAACCACTCAACATATATTTAAGAATATACAGTAGTGACTTTGTATTCAGGTCGGATTCATTTATTCACTTAAGGTAGGGATTACTTCCCATGTAAAGGATAGCTCTGTGGTTAGGGAAGTAGCATAGGACTTCGGCGACCAAGGCTCAAATCCCTACTCTGCCACCGACTTCCTGCGTGAACTCTGTACCTCAGTTTCCCCATCTGTACAATGGCGATAATAGCACTCGTCTACCTCACATGGGGGTTGTAAGGAGAAACACATTAAAGATTAGGGAGTGCTTTGAGCACTATATTAGAGTTTGATAGTATTAAACATGTACCACAGCACACACTTAACTGGTGTAACCCTGAATATACACTAACATCGAGGCTGCAATTAAGGGCAAGCCTACATGAGAAACTTAAGTTATGTCGACGTACAGCCACCACAGTAATTAAATTGGTTTTGCACGTCTACACTAGCTCCTGTGGGCAGCGTGCAGCCACACCAGGTGCGCCTGCACCGATTTAACTGTCAGCGCAGGCACTGTGGGGCACTGACAGCCGGAGTCCTGCTGCCCGAGGCTGACAGCCGGAGCCTTGCCAGGTGTTACCTGGAGCCCCACCGCCTGACTCCGGCTGTCAGCCCTGGGTGGCCAGGCTCCGGCTGTCAGCTGCCAAAGTCTACCAGCCAGAACATTCTGCTGTAAGCAATGCAGTGTCTACTCTGACACTGCGTTGACGTCACGACATCACACCTCTCGTAGAGGTGGAGTTAAGTCAGTCTAGTGGGCGACTTACATTGGCGGGAGTAACATTGTAGTGTAGACGCTTACAGAGTTAGGTCGACGTAAGATGCCTTATGTGGACCTAACTCCACAGCGTAGACCAGGCCTAAGGTTTTGCATTATAATGCGTTGTGTGTCATGTGCTTCCTCATCTGTTGGCGGCAGAAGGAAGTTCTTTGGGATGATACAGAATCTTGTCATGGTCATGGGCAACATATAGTATGGGTCCTGATGTATGGGGTCCTCTAATTTATTTCCTAGCTTTCTATGGATTGAGTTAGGGACATAGGAATATAGGACTGGAAGAAACCTTACAGGCCATCAAGTCCAAGCACCTGCTACCACAGGCAATCCTGACATGTCATGTCATGTCATATCATCCCATGGGTGGGGCGGAGGGTGTTTCCTCACACTTTCCCAACTTTATTCCCTTTTAAACCAAGTTTTGGTTTATACAATCTACAGCTATAATCTGGTAAACAACAGCATGAATTCATAGGGAGCTTCAGCCCTTTCGGCCAAGACAATGACCACGTTGACAATTTGCTTTTGTTCAAGTTCTTTGGTACAGGAGTACCAAGTGACCATGTGGCTTTTTAATACATAGTATATGGGTGGTGCATGCAACTAGGAATTGGCCAACTTCGTGGAATCTGAAGGTTTGTGAACCTCAAACTATTTTGGGGGTTTCCAAAAGTGATTTGACTTTTAAGTGGGTTTAAATTAAAAAGAAGAGAGTCCATTAAGGTCAATATCAACATTCCATTCTTCTGGAAGTGATTTCTTGGTTAACCAGCTTTGCGCACGCTCATCCAGTTTTATTACTGTATTCATGTGTTCTCAGAAATGGACTGTTTATATAATATGAATGACCAGGAGGTACTGAGAGTCCATTCTTGGATCAGAACTTCATTCTTCACGTGCTTTCCTTGAACATACTCTTTCTGTGGAACCTTTCCAGAACATTCAAAGGAGCAAAATCAAATCTCATCCATATTTAAGGCTCAAACCATATGCCAAATGAATTTCAGAGGGTGGTCAATCTGCTTCATATTGTGCCCTTCCAAATTTCCTTTCTTCCTTTTCCTTCCATTTCTGTCTCTTTACCCTTAATCACTGAGTTCTTGATGCACCGAACCTGAAGTCACATCATGTCTTTGTGGTTTCATTTGCGATTTGCTGGGTTTTGGGGGTGGTTTTTTGTTTTGAGGTTGTTGTTTTTAACCCATTGAGACATGCAATTAATTTTCTCCTAATCTGTGTATTTCTCCCTTTGACCTAGGTTGAAATTCTGAAATGCCATTCACTTGATATTCCGAAATCATGGGGATAGAGCCGAAATAAGCATATGCTGATTTATTGTCACACAAACTCTATTAGCAATAAGTATTTAACTCTGGTAAAGTGTGTCTCAGGCACTCTGATACCTTGGAGGTGGGAGCAATATAAGAATCTAAATACAGTAGGGGCCGATCTACACTGCAGGGGGGATCGATCCAAGATACGCAACTTTAGCTACGCGAATAGCGTAGCTGAAGTCGAAGTATCTTGGATCGAATTACCTGGGGTCCACACGGCGCGGGATCGACGGCCGCGGCTCCCCCATCGACTGCGCTACTGCCACTCGCTCTGGTGGAGTTCCGGAGTCGACGGTGAGCGCATTCGGGGATCGATATATTGCATTTTAACAAGACGCGATATATCAATCCCGGATAAATCGATTGCTACCTGCCGATACGGTGGGTAGTGAAGACGTACCCTAGAATAGCTTAGATTCTGTTTGAGTTTAAGACTTCCTTTACGCACCATGTTATCTAAAGCAGATTGAAACCTCAGCCCGTCCCTTCATTTTGAATTCTACTGAGAAGATATCCCACGTAAAATGCCCATTCATTGATATACAATATGGGAATGAGATATTACTGGTCTAACTTGTAATTTCATGAAATGTTGCTGATTAAAAACTAAGTGACAAAACATGGATTGTCGGTGTAGTTTATTGAAGGCACAGTGGGAAATGGAGAACTTTTGACAATCAACAAAGGCTAAGATAGCACCACTACAGCTTTATACAAATACAACCAGGCATTGTACTCAGAGATACTATGCACCAAGAGCTCCCAGCGACTTCATTTGGAGGTGCTGAGTAGACCTTGGGGGAGAAAAACTGTCAAAGAGAAAATTGGAAGAAAAATGCATTTTTTAGGACATGAAAACTATATATGAATTTGGGTTGAATTTGGCAAATAGTCTCAGCTGAAAAAAACCACCCTTCAAGTTAAAATTTCCAAAAGAGTGAAATAATTCAGTTAGAAAAAATCAAAACTAACCCATTGGAAAGTGTCTTTTCAATTCCACATTCTGTTTAGAAAACGTCAGTTCGATTCAACATTTTGTCTAGAAAACATCATTTCGATTTGACGTTCAAAACATTTAGTTTCCACCTGAGTGAAATGCTTTCAGTTTTTCATTTTGGTGAGAAAAAACAAAACAAAGCAAATTCGGTCTCAGTTCAAAACGAAACGATTATTCGCTTCAGCCACCAAACTGAAAAATCAATTATTCAACCCAGTTCTACAGCAGAAGGCTTTTGAAAATCAAGCCCAGGAAAAGCACAGTTCGGTGCACAATCAAATAAGGATGACACGTATTTAGCGGCAAGCAAGCTAAATTAAACACCCGTTGTTTAACTGCAAACAAAAATGAGCTTGGACATGGAGATTTCTCTGATTAAAATTTGACATTTCCTTTTTGGAATACACATCGTTAACAGCTCTAGAAACTAAGTTCCCCATTTTACAGAGAGAGAAAAATTCTCTCCTCAGTACCATCTGGGAAAGTCAAATCACTGTTCTCCTTTCTGAATCACTTTGGAAGGTGCTGTAGGAAGAGTATGTTTCCATGTACAAATTGCATGATTCATAAAACTGCCAGTTGCAAGAAAACCCAGAGAGAGGGCAACGCAAATGATTGGCCCATGGGAGGGCGGTTTTGCAGCATAGAAAATGCCTCAAGGCAGCACTGAAATACAAAGACACTTTGAGCTGAAGGAAGTAATACTGCTGTAAACACCTGTTAGCAAGGCGTCTAAGGAATGGACATTCAGAATGAGGAGACTACTGAAAATAGAACCTCCCTGAGACATCTCTCTTATCCTAATGAATGCTTATAGTCGGTCAGGGATTTTGTGATTTGTGTTGCGGTCAGCTGGCTGAGAATTCATTTCATATCATTTTGGAAAGGGTGACTTTGTGCTTAAGCTTTGGATTGTGGTATTCCTGGCTGTGCGGCCTACAAATCCAGAGTTACATCCCCCTACAGAGCTATGCCGGTTTCTCTCACCACTTCACAACTTCCCGGAACTCCAGTGTGGCATGGCCCAGCTCCAGAGTTATCTACAGCTCCAGTGCTGGGTCCTCCAGCTGGAGAGCTACCTAAATATTGGATGATGAATCCTCCGGTTTCAACAGTGCAAACTCCATTTCCAGGATATCCACTACTGGTGATGTACCCTCCTCCATCTGGGCTGCAGGCTACACCTCCAGAGACTTGTCCCGTGCCTACAGAGCTGGTTACGACTTTAGAACCGTAACCCCCACCTCCGGAGACGACTCCTCCAGGTGGACACCAATGCACACCTCCCGGGAGGTGGTGGCTACACACAGAGCTGACCACACCTCTGGATATGCAACTGCCACTTCTGGAGCTGAACCCTCCAGGTGGATAGAAGTCTGCACCTTCAGGGAATTTTTGGCTACCTGCAACGCTGACTACACTTCTGGGGCAGACTCCTAAACTTTTGGAGCTGAAACCCCCACCTGGGGAGCCGCATCTTCCATGCCCAGAGCTGTAGCCTCTACTTAAAGAGCCGTAACCACATCCGCTTCCAACTCCAACCACGGTACCACTGTCTCCAGCTATGTTTGAGGAGTTGGTGACCACAGCTGCAAGAAAAACACAGGTGCAGTAAGTTGAGCAGAAAGCTAGCACTCTCGCAGAAAAAAACCCCAAACTTGGAATATCCCAATTGTAAATCCTCGGCTTACTTACATACACTCACAGGCGTCCCCAAACATATCCTGTGGGGAAAGAAAAGAAAGATGACTATTTCATCCCATCAATATGGGTAAGGAATGGTGTCCCTAGCCTCTGTTTGTCAGAGGGTGGAGATGGATGGCAAGAGAGAGATCACTTGATCATTACCTGTTGGTCCACTCCCTCTGGGGCACCTGGCATTGGCCACTGTCGGTAGACAGGATACTGGGCTAGATGGACCTTTGGTCTGACCCGGTATGGCCGTTCTTATGTTCTTATGTAATTAGCTTTACTTCATTTTACTGTCACTTCAGCCTACCAACCAACCCATTCCATCCCTAGGTGTCTCTCTCATCCCCTGCATTGTGTCATGTCCAGGACAGAGGCACTGTCTCGTAAATACTTGTGCAATGGAGCCCTGGTAGCTGTTTGGATTTCCTAGGTAATCCTCATCTTCATCATTGGAAAGTCACTTAGAGATTGTTCCATCGTTGAGCTTTATGGTATTTGGCACCCACCTGCTTTCTTCTCCTTCCAGCAGTTTCTTGTATGTGGTGATCTCGATATCCAGGGCCAGCTTGACGTTCAGGAGTGCCTGGTAATCACGCAGCATGCATGCCAGCTCATCCTTGGCCCTCTGGAGAGCGTTCTGCAGTTCCATGTGTTTACCTCGAGCATCTTTAAGAGCACAATCGCCGCGCTGCTCAGCATCACAAATGGCTGTTTGCAGACAGGCAATCTGCCAAGGGAGAAAACGGAAGACATTACTGATGTGTTTGGGTGTCTCTACCAGAGTTCCGAGCCATCAGCCTCTGGATTCGCTTCCCAAGTTTCAGTTCCAAATTCAGAAGAATAGATACATGGCTGAGGAAAGCCTAACATCTTGGAAGCTGTATACCTCATTTCATGGCCTTCTTTCAAGGTACTCCAAGTGTCCATAATAAGCTCTGCCTGTTACAGGACAGATGACATTGCTTAGCAGTATGGCACAATTTTGGCATCTCCCTCAAAGGCGTGAAGTTTTGGCCACTATCAAAGGCTAGGTGCTGGGTTTGGTGATGTATCCACTATTCTATGGTATTCCCATAGGTCTCTGTAATGGGGGCACTCACCTCTTGAGCACCTCTGAGTGGCTGGGTGTGGTACCACAGACCTTTTCTCACCCCTGGTGTCCCCTTCAGGCTGCCAGCCAACCTTGGTGGGACTTCAGCAGCTTGGCCCTCTGGCCAAGTCACCAAGTCCAAATGACCTCCTTCTGGGGTGGGCATTACATGATCTATTTGCCCTTAGTAGGGCCTTCTATCCTGGCTCTGGGCCCCTTTAAATACTGTCTCCTTTGTGGGGTTGATACCACTTTACTTGTGGCCAGTAGGGGAACCTGGGCCTGCCCACTACTCTGGGGTCCTACCCAGGGACTTTATACATAGCAGCCATGTACTGCTTACCGCAATCCTTCACTTTCCCTGAGCCTTTCTACCAGTACTTTTATCTCCAGCCCTATCTCAGCGCCAATGCCCTCAGGTTCTTCTCCCTCTACAATCCCAACTACGTAAGTAGAGCCAGAGATAACCTCTGGCTAATTGCCTAGTTCCCTTGGCCAGAGAGCAGCCCCTTTTTTCACTCGTCTGGTCCCAGCCTGGAACTGACCTGCTCAGGCCCTGTAGCAACTTTTATCTGAGCCTGCTGGGCTCTGATTGGCCGAACATCTTTATTTTTTCAAGAGACCAACAGGGCCTGCCTTGCAGTTCCTCTCACTGCATCTAGCAGGTGCTAAATTGTGGCAGAGGATGGAACTGAAAGGGAAACCGAAGACAAGGAAGAAAGCGCCGTCTTTGAGAAGACCGGACATGAGAAAGAAAAGGCTTGCTTGTGATAATACTACTGCTCTCACTAATGCTCATCCTTAGAGTTATCCTCCCAAATTTTCAAAGGGTGGTAAGAAGAATCAACCTGGTTGACTAAGAAGGGAGAGAAGCTGATTCTCATATACACTCAGGCCCCAGCTCTGGCAGTGTAAAGGGGCCGTCAAAACAAAGTAAATGTAATTGATACCCACTATATGGCCACTGGCAGAGGGGTGACAGGGGCCTGAATGTGCTTGAAAGTAAAGCCCAAAATCACTTTCCCTTTTATTCCATGTAATTTCCCTTTTCCCATCCCCACTCCTTTCCTTGACAAGCGAGAGGTGATGACGATTCTCGAAATCCTTGAATTTGGCTAGACAGAAAGTCTACTCAATAAGTTGAAGAAGTGAAATTACGTCTTAAGGGCTTCAGTGTGGATCCTGTTTGCAGAGTTGTTGTAGCCATCTTCTATTAGGGTTGCCAATTTTGGTTGGACGTACTCCTAGGTTTCATCACATGGCATCATCTTTAATTAGGGATTAATCTTTCATTCCTGGATTCTCCAGGACAATCCTGGAGGGTTGGCAATCCTATCTTCTATAATACTTCGAATTGTGGTGGTGTTTTTTTTTAAAAACACTTGGCCTCATTCATTCCAACCTAGCAGCCATCTCAGATCAGTCTTGGTTCATGCCACAGACACAACGGCATCATTCAGAACCAGACCATAATTCCCAGCCATACTGTATTCCAATATATCATCCATACTAATACACCAAATCTGGCACATTCATCGGAAAATCAAAACTTCTAATCACTCCTACCTGTTTCTTTACGTGGTCAGTCTCACCCTGCAGCTTCTGGATCAGACGGGTTAGTTCTGCAATCTCATGCTTGTTTCTCTCTAGATCCTCACAGAATCTGCCCCTTTGGTCCTGAAGCTCCTCGAACTGGTATCCAGAAACAAACTGATGGTTAATTGAACTTGCATCATACAATAGCCTGTATCGTACCTGTCTCATTTGCGACTCACCCTGGTTTGGTACAAAACATCAACTTCTTCTTTGCTCCTCTGAGCAATCTCTTTATACCAGCCTTCAACATTCTTGATTATGCAGTCCGTGTCCAGGTCTCTGCTGTTGTCCATTTTCACAATAACTGCCGTGTCGCAGAACTGGCCATCCATCTGAGCTCTCTCCTGCAATTGCATAAAGTCTTAGGTGTCATTTAAAGCCCCCTCCCTTATCCATACTTCCAAGATGTTCACTCAAGGACAAAGGGTCTCTCTTCACTGGGCTAGTTCCGATCCTGCAACTAAAGACCAACGTAAAGGGCTTTGCCTATGAGAAATACAGAAGTCTTTCTTCTTAGGAGTAGGAGCAGGCCAACCAGGTAGGTAGGACATGTCCAATTTCTGATGGATTTGGGGAGGAAAAGACAGGTCTCATTGTTCCCAGGCATTATCACCAGATAGATCCAGGGTGAAGATTCATGCATTATGGCGTAACATTATATAGGCTTCATAATTCCATGTTTAGGGGTGGATTAGTAAATGTTTCCTAGAGGCAATCACCCAGGTGGAGTTTCTAGCTATGGAGTCCTTGCTGCCTCTAGTAATCTGGGCTCTATGCAACGTGATGATGATTTCAAGGAGAAGCATGGTACTGAATTTCCATGGCCGGCAGCATAAGAAGAATCCTTACCTCATCAAACACACATCTCAGAAATTCCAGCTTCTGCTTCGACAAGGTCGTGTTCACCTCTAGCTCTTCCTTGTGCAGCAAGGTACCATCCGCCTCCTGAGGAAAAAAGGCCACAGGTATTCCAAAACACTGGGGAAACAGTATCGGAGGCAAAGCCTGTTGTCTGTTTCCATCAGGCTTGTGGAACAGAATGTCTCGATTTGGCAGGCTTCCACAAGGGGCTCCCGGGCCTCCCAGAGGAAAATCAACCCACCTCAAAGTCAATGGGGAGGAAAAGTCCTCTTCGATACTTAGGACTTGGTGGAAAACCCAGTATTGACTAATGAAAGTTTAAATATGAACTCTAAATATTCAGTGTTTTTGTCTCATTTTCTGAGATCTACCTACAATGGATCTAGCGAGGAAGAAAAATTAAGATGCACCTCTTTAGATGATTAAAATATCAGTCATTAGTGGGCCTTTATTATTCCATTGCTGTCCACCTACAACCATTTTTGCTCTCTCCGTCAGGCCCCACTTACAAATAATGACATGAACAGCAACTTGAGTGTGTTATGTTTGCTTGTGATTTGCTATGATGCTAGCTTAAATGACGTTCAACTTCTTCTCCCATTCCCATCTATATCCTTTTTCCACCCTGTCCAGTATGTGTGCAAAGATGTGCCTTTTCCTCATGCTACCATCATCAGGTATCTTCTTATAACTTCCTACTGCTGCGGCATCCATGCAAAATGGTTATAGCTATATTTACAGATCCTCGCTTCCTCTTTTAGCCACCTGAATTTCTCACCTTCTTGAGCACCACAAACTCGGTCTCTGCCGCTGTGCGCCTGCTGATTTCCTCTTCGTACCTGTGGGAAAAGAGAAGAGACAGCGGTGGGTCGGTGCTTGTTTTGCCAACTGCCATAACACACATGGGCAACATTTTTCTCTTTCAATTTGAAATCAACGTTGGGTCTGTTTCACCAATCGCAAATGCCATTTCAATTGATATCGCTGTTGTTAGATATTTGGCGGCATGCGTGTGTTCTTGCTGCGTGCTGCACTGGCTCTGGCCTGATAGCACCTACAGCAGGCTTCGATCGAACTGCTCAAGAAGACCACAAGACTTGGTTTAGTAGCAAAGGTGCCCGGCCAGGTTTATTGTCAACAAAGCACGGTAATGGCACCTGGAAGACTCTCCGAAGATACTAAGACATGTATGCTTGTGACAATGGACGCAGCTCAGTCACTGGTGGGACTTTCCACTGCTCCGTAGGCTGGCCAAAGACACTCCCTTTGAGATACATTTTTATACACGGATACAAACAAATTACAAATCAGGGTGCCACCGCTGACGTATTTGAGTGCCACTCAATGCCTTGTACATGTTGGTTTGATTAAAACATTTTTATTCATTATGCTGTTATCCTGACCTTATCTTTAGGATGGGTCAGTGTGTTCCTGTTATCTGTGGGGAATGTGCTAGTATTGAGGTGTTCTGGTACCACCCTTCTGGAATATGTGTTTTTGCAATATCAGCCCTGTGCTTGCCAAATTCTGTGAGCATGGCCTGCCTCTTGCTCACAACCTGACTTTGCTTCATATTGGAAAAGTTTTGACCACTACTTTAGTTCAGGCCTCAGGCCTCATACCAGGCCTCTAATACAAGGACTTATGTCTCAGGCTCTCTTCCTACTACAATAGTCATACCAGCTAAAGACTGGAATAATTCAGTGGTGAATCAGGCCACAATTTTTTTTCATTTCCCACAGCAGCTAAAGGAGATCACAAGAAATAGAGCAAACTGAGAAGAAAGCAAATGATGGATAATCTCTTACTTGCATTTGAATTCATCCACAAGCTTCCTTGATGCAGACTCTTCACAGGTCAGTTGTTCCTTGTCACTTAACAAATCCTCGAGCTGCTTCCTCAGGCTGCAGATATAATTCTCAAAGCACTGCTCGAGATTTTTCTGTGGGGCTGGAGGAACACACTGCTGCAAGAGGTTCCATTTGGTCTCCAGCACCTTGTTCTGCTGCTCCAGGTGTCGAACCTGTAAACCAAAATTCAGCAATTTTTTAAATCTCCGAAAGCTGCCACCAAAGAAAGAAAGACCCTAAGTTAAACTGTCCTTTTTGATTCAGGAACTGTTATTGGTATTCCAGAGGCAGGAACAGAATATTTGGCAACTAGAAGGCCAAAGGAAGCAGATCTTTGGGAAATGATACTTAATAGTAACTCTCCCCTCCTCTGAGTAATCATAAATATATATCGAAGTTGAATACATTTTAAGCTCTAACAAATACTGTATTCCATTCACCTTCATATTACATGTATCCCGATGGTATTGAAATCATAGAATCATAGAATATTAGGGTTGGAAGAGACCTCGGGAGGTCATCTAGTCCAATCCCCTGCTCAAAGCAGGACCAGGACTGATATTAATATAACTTTGTGTGTCAAATATAAACATCAAAAGGCCAAGGAAATAAATTTAAGTCTAAAACTCTATCTTTGTCTCCTCGTCCAGGTACTTCGAAGGAGAGTAATGCTGAATGTAAGAGGATCATAAACTCGTTCGGTGTCATTGAGTGGTGATTGCCCAGGTAGTGCCCAGCAAATTGCAAATCAAGGAGGAGGAGGATCTTTTCATAACCATCCCGTTCCATTGACTTCACTACAATTATTCTTGTGAATGGAATCAAGGCCAGATGTTGCATTCCTAAATAATGACTCCAAAAAAACCAGCTACGTTTCCCATCCTTGGATGAAAACAATAGTGCCATTGTTTCTGTTCCACTTAGCACAAAACATTCTCAATGGCCGTAGAATTTTAACGCAGACCTCATTGGAGAATGTGGAAACAACAGACTTGAAGGGTGACTGCAGACAACCATCACCCAGGCACACTTGGTCTTTCATATTGTTTATTTAATAGCTTATTAGATGTTAAGGCAAGAGGAACCACTTCAGTCATCTAGTCTGACCTGACATAACACAAGCCATAGAATTTTACCCAACAGTTCCTGCATCATAGAATCTTAGAATATTAGGGTTGGAAGTGACCTCGGGAGGTCATCTAGTCCAACCCCCTGCTCAAAGCAGGACCAACATCAACTAAATCATCCCAGCCAACACTTTGTCAAGCCGGGCCTTAAAAACATCTAAGGATGGAGATTCTACCACCTCCCTAAGTAACCCATTCCAGTGCTTCACCACCCTCCTAGTGAAATAGTGTTTCCTAATATCCAACCTAGACCTCCCCCACTGCAACTTGAGACCATTGCTCCTTGTTCTGTCATCTACCACCACTGAGAACAGCCGAGCTCCATCCTCTTTGGAACCCCCCTTCATAACTTCTGGTTGAGACAGAGTAGATCTTTTAGAAAGTCATCTAGCCTTGATTTAAAGCCTTCAAGTGACGGAGACTTTCCAAAGAGTTAAGTACCGCAGTGGCTCTGTCTCAGGGCATGATCCAAATCCAGTTAAGTGAATTTGGGTGTCTTTCCACTGATTTCAGTAGGGATTTGACTAGGCCCCAATCCAAGGACAATCTTATGCTCATGTTCCAAAGGTCACAGTCTGAACATGGGGAAATTTGGATCTGGATGCAAATCCGGATTAGAAATCTGCACCATGGGCCATTCTCTGTGTTTTATTAAAGGAAATATAGAAAACATCGATGCTCTCACCTTGTCAATGAAGCAGGCAAATTGGTTGTTCAGGGTCTTCATCTGCTCCCTCTCGTGTTCTCGTGCCTGATGTTCTTGTGGGTCAACTCCCACGCAGAGCGGCTTCAGGAGGGACTCGTTGACGCTGACCCCTCGGATACCATCGCTCCTGCAATCGGCATAACCTCCAAAAGTTCCATAGCCTCTGGGTCCGCAAAGACCTACCCTGCCGCTAAAACCTCCAGAGCTGCCATAACCAACACTGCCCCAAGCTGTGCCACCATCCCCATAACCTCCGTAGCATCCAGCACCACTAGGGCAGCCCACAACATCGGCAATTCTTGTGCTTCCACCCAGGTGGCAGACGCTCCTGCTGCTGTAGCCACCAACTTTACATCTTTCGACCGGCGGGCCTACCGAGGCCACACAGGTTCTGTGTCCGCTTAGGACGTCAGACGTTGAACTGAAGCCCTTTCGTCCAACGGTGGAGCTTGCAAAAAACGTCTGTCTGTTCATGGCGGCGTATTTGAAGCGGGAATAAGTATCGGGAGCTGCGGTGCGTGACAGCAGCAAAAAGCGAAGGAGAAAGGACTCCTCTGATGTGACACCTTGACACTACCCCTTATATATGATAGTGAAGCTGGGCTTGGTTGGATCAGAAAATTAATTTCAAGTTTTCAAGGGTTTGGTTTGCCTAGCAGCAGTATATGCTTTGCAACATGCAAAGCTTCATAGTAAACATTAACCACTTATGAAATAATAACGCATTTAAAATGCTTTGTTTGCAAGCTTTGCTCAGAAGATATTCTTGTTTAAAGTATTCTCATTTTATACTAATTATAGCTTGGCGGATGTATTCATGAGAGTCCTCATAGTTTGTTTGCAATTGTGGTTTTTATTCCTCTGTCCCTTGGGTTTTATGATGTGACAGTACATTCTGCAGATTTGCATTTTACGGCTATAGTTTCAGGAGCTGTCCTTTTTCCTCCCGCCAGTGTGTTGGGCTCATGTTTGGTGACCTTTTTCAGTCAAACCGTAAACTTGCCAGAAAAATGTATTTCCGGGGTGACCAAAGCTATTTACAAAATCACGTTAAATTCCGCAAAGAGCTTTGCCTGGGGAAAAAAAATGAAATAAATCATTTTGATTTTTCATTTCAAAACATTAGCCAGATTTGGTTTTAAAAATCATTGTAAAGAGTAAAAAACATCCAACGTAATGAAACTGAATTGAAAAACCAAACAAAATTTAGCTTCAGTTCGAACAAAATATTTCATTCTACCTGAAACTATTGTTTTTTTTTGTTTATTTGCTTTGTTTTGGGGGGGAGGGGAACAAAAAAACCAGTTTCAAAACTAAACAGTTTTGTAATAGATTTTTTTGGTTTGGCCACTGAACAGGGCCGGCTCCAGGCACCAGCCCACCAAGCTTGTGCTTGGGGCAGCACCTGGAGGGGGGCGGCGCGGCGCTCCGGCTCTGGCCGCTGGGGAGAGCGGGGCCACGGCCGGGGCTCGCCGCCCTCCCCGCGGCGCTCTGGCCGCCGGGGAGAGCAGAGCCCCGGCCGGGGCTTGCCGCCCTCCTCCCAGGGCTCCGGCCGCCCTCCCGGCCGCCGGGGAGAGCGGAGCCCTGGCCGGGACTCGCCGCCCTCCCCCCGGCGCTCTGGCCGCCGGGGAGAGCGGAGCCCCAGCTGGGACTCGCCGCCCTCCCCCCGGCGCTCTGGCCGCCGGGGA